AATCTAAACCTAACGTTTATATAGGAGAATTTTCCTCTATATACCCTACATCTAACAAATAACTACTTTAGCGTAGTTAGTTAACCTCCCTATTTAAATTAAAAAGATTAAATACGGCCCGTATAAGAATTAAACTGTAAACCTTATTATGTAAGTAACTATCCCCTCCCCTCCGTACGAAGCTTATACTTATACGCAAATTCTAGCACTATATCTAACTCTACTACTCTAATCTATCGCCCGTACGACCCTATTACCGTCGCACTTACTAGTGCCTTCTAGAATAAGTTTGTCGAAGTCGTACGCCTCGCTAACGCTAACGATGCTCCTAACGATAATAACACCTTAGACCTAGTCGTTATACGCCTAGCTAATAGGATACAAGGGTTATACTATAACCTATCTAAAAAGGGTTTCGTAGGGTCATATTTTTGGCGCTTAGCGGGGCAAAAGTAAAGTAGAACCCGTAGTAGAACCCTAATTCTGTAAGTTACGCTAACACGATCTAATATTCGTTATACTGTACTAGAATAGATAGATTAATTATAAAAGATGATCGCACCATTTAAAATTTAAGTATAAGTCGTAGATAGATAGATATTGTCGCCTAAACATCGTAGGTATAAGTGTTAAAGTTCGCTAAGAATCGCGCCTATAGCTTCTCTACTAAGCTTCTATAGGCGTACAAGGTCGCCCTAACACTACTAATATTTAAGAGACAATCTATGTAATACTCTACAGATTATATAGTAATCTCTTCGTTTTCTTTATTAGATAAATCTTATACTACTTATAGTAAGCAATTAGATTTTTGTAGGTAAGGAGTCGGACGTTTAATAGATCTATCGCTTTCTTAACTCGTAGCTATTCTCTTACTACTAAACGTATGCTTACTAACTCGCTCTAGACTAGCTACGGAAGGTACAAGATTAGCTTTTAAATAAGCTAGAGCACGAAGAGCATAGTTACGACATAAGTCGTAACAATTTCGGATAAGCTAAGTCGATAATATGCTATGTTTCTTAAAATATGCATAAATCTTAGCAAATTTGGCGAACATTCGTACAAATTTAGGACCATTATAAGTTAGAGTCTTACTAGGAGCATTAATTAGTGCTCTATCTACGTTATTAAAACTACTAAAGGGTATGTCGTCTAGTAGCTACAATAGGTTAGTACTAGGGGACTCTTTAAGTAGAGTTATAGGCTCGATAATTCGATAGCTACGGACTTTTTTTACCTAAGTCTTACTATCCTAATATTAAAGACTAGTACTCTAATTATTTAGCTTACTACTTGGCTCTAATTCCGAATGTATAGTAGTTAGATTACTGCTCTCTATACGCTTTCTCTTCTAAGAGGTATCTTTCGTCCAAGTAATAGGGGATAGCTACTACTACAGTGTTGTCGAAACTATAGGCATTAACTCTAGTACGTCTTCCTAGATACTAGAAGCCGTTATGCTTAAAGTGCTGTTAAAGAATTTGACGTCTTCTAGAATAAGCTTATAGGTCTTTAAGATCTAGGTTCGAGGAGGACGGTTTATAGGGTCGAGACGTCTTTTAATAGCACTACGCTAACCGATTATAGCTTATTACTACTCTATAATGTTTATATATGTAATAGCTACTTCGCTAAGCATTCTTTTAGATAGGTCTTTAATAGACTTAGTAGGTCTTATAGAGGAGGGAATGTTATTAAACTAGTCGTCGCCCTACTTCTTAGTAATAGACTACTAGTAGGTGTCTTTAGACTACTAAGTAGAGGTGCTAATAACGACTATAACTTTAACTACTTTATAATTAGGAACACTCTTAATAAAAGCTTGTTCGTTCTAGAGGTTAGGATTAGGATAAGTATCCTATAGGTTGTTAATTTTTACCTATCGCTAGATATATGTAGCTTATATACTAGCACTCTCTATATAGTTAGCTATAGCAGCAAGTAGGTTACTCGCCGCTTAGATAGGAGAGAGATTAGGTCTAGGGTTATTTAGATGATCCTATAACGAGACGTTTAGATTATCTAGAAGTTTCTAATAACGGAGTTCGCTCTTAACGTCGATAGGCGACATTATCTAGAGCTAGGCTTCGATTTCCCTAGCATCTGCTCTAGCCTAAAGGGATTAATTTTAGCGCTAAACTTAAGACGGTGTCAGAGCGACCGGCCTAGCTACTACTTTAGTACTAGTAGATATAGAGGACCGTAGTACGAGAGACATTGCCGAGGACATATCTACATTATTACGGACAACATAGTAGCGCTATAGGGAAGCGACATCGCTTAAGCTATCTATAGTCGCTATAGTAGTAGTAGACTTTAGTCTAAGTCGATAGACAACACGTATATGGACACTCTTTACGCCTACCATTATTAAACTTAGAGTGACGACTATAGTTCGGTTCTTTGCCGAGCTTATCTATAGCTATAGATAAGTTCCCTACCTATAAGTAAGAGAAAAATCGCGCAAAAGAGAAAAAAGTAAGGTAATAAGATAAGGAGTAGAAAGTAGAAAGAGTAAGAAGAAAATCGTGCGCTAAACTAAATTGCAAAAGAATGTAGAGGATAGTAGGGAATCGGAAAGCATATATATATTAAATTTAATAAGGGTAGGGATAATCTAGGCTTAGCCCTACGCGTCTTATTAGACGAGTACGTATTCCGCTAAACTAGTTCTAACGAGCACTACGACTCTATATATACTTATTAGGCAGTTAACTTACTAAATGCATGTAGTAGAGAGAGGGGTTACGTATGTAGGTCTCGCATTATAGGTTATCGAGAGATGCTATAAGAAGCGTAAGACATACTATTAGTAAAGCAAGTAATTATCTTCTACTTTTTCTTTCCCCCTACTACTTACTTTATCTTTACTTACTTCTAATTAAACGGACGGTCAAATTCTTCCTATAGTCTAGCTAGTAAGAAGCACATCTTCCGTCTATACATTCTAGTATAAAAGAAATAGAGCTAGCATTTCGATTAACCGAACATACTCTAGAGTCTACCGTAATAAGCGACATAGTTCGAGCAATAATACGTTAAGACGATAGCATTAAAGATGTAGAATAGCGAGCCATTATAGACGCTATATTAAACTACGTCTATCTAGTAGAACACAAAGTACTTATCTATAAGGAATACAGGTACGTAGTGCGAGGCTTAGATAGTCATCTTTGCTTAGTATATAAGTCTTATACTTCATTATTAAAGAAGGTAAGAGCTACGATAAGATAGCATTATAGCGGACGCAACATACTAGATCTATCTACTATCTATCTACCTAAGCTAGGATAGCTGGCGATCAAGTACTTAAGCGACCTAATACTAGGCTATTACTATATTTATAGCTACGAGTATACTACTAGCGTAGAAGACGCGTAAGAAGATGCGCCGCTAGTAGCGATAGACCCCCCTAGTTACTATAGGTATATAATTAGCGACCGTACTAACATTAGTAAACACTATCGTAATGCTTATAGCTAGAAGTCGGCCGGAATAGATCGCTAGTGCTAGAAAGATGTCTACGTCTAGACATTCTATAATAGCTTAGGTAAGCAAAAGTAGTTTATTGTTAAGACACCTAATAAGGTAGCTAGAGAAGGAGTAAACATTAGAGAAACTCTTCCCTAAGCGAAGTAGATGTAATTCGATAGCATTAAAGGCAACTTCTAGAGATTAATAGAGTAATAGTAGAAAGAGTAGAAAATGCTCTTAGATAAGGTTAAGAAATGCGAAAACACTAGATAGTAGAATAAGACGAGATAGAGAGAGCATCTTAAGAATTATAATCTTATCTATCTTTTGTACGCTAGTAGGTTACTTGAAAAGGATAAAGAAGGCTTACTTAAGGTAGTAGCTATCATTAAGAAGATAGTCGAGAAGGGTATCTTAGGACTAAACTCGATACTAGAAGGTCTACAACGTTAGCTACGAAGTGTAGAGATATATAAACTAGATGTAAGACTACTCGCCTAATTATAGAACTCTAAGAGTTAAGAACGGTATACTAGATACTAGATACGGATAATCTATTATTGTCTACGAGTCTAGAGCACTCGCGATAATAATAACGAAGCTATAGATAGTAAAGTAGATAGCGATAATAATAATTACTATGATATAGAAAGCGATAGCGACGAGACTAACGACAAAGACGATCCCTACGTAGAACTATAATACGGCGAACGCTTATAATAACGACGGTAAGTATAAGATTAGATATACGATGCCTATAGACTCTTCCTATAGAACGACTAACTAGAAAGCGCGATACAAAAAGTCTAGACATTAGTTATCTATAAGGGAGACACATTATTAGTAGAAGACGATTAAATCCTAGCGATAGTAGAACTCTATAAGGTGTTATTATTTAGAAAAGTCTAGAACGACCGCTTCGATAGCGCTATAATCTACTTTATAGCCGTTATAGGCATCGACGAGACAAACGTATAGTTACGCGATAGTAACGACTACTCTTATATAATAGCTAGACTCGTATACGTATCTAGGCTCGTAGCCGCCGAGGCTTTACTCCTATCGCTCGAGCGTAAGAACTAAGGAGAGGGATAAGCGTAATAGAAGAGATGTTAAGCTTACTAGCGTATAGAAAGAAGATTACTAAAAACTTCTACGCCTAAGGAAAACTATACTAGACCTACGACGGAGTAGGCGTTACTCTTAGTAGCATTAAATTTATAGTGTATAACTTTAAGTCTATAGCACGCTTAGCTCTAGATGACTATAAGGACTATATATAGCAGGATCTTATATAGGCCGGCTAGAAGGAAGACTGCTTCGTATTAGATCTTAATAGCATTATTAATAATATAATAGTAAAGAAGAGAGGCTAGTACTTTAGTATAGACCCGAACTAGGATCTTAAAGCCCGAGGTCTAGACTAGATACTAAAGAGGATACTAGACTCGAAGTATAGCAAGAAGATGCGTAGTAGTAGAGATAGCTAGTAGTAGTCGAGACTAGTAGCCGACTATCTCTAAAGAGTAGATAAGTTTAGAGAGCTCTTCTTATTCTACGTACATATCTTAAGTAGACAACCTATAAGAGGTACCGAGATTACTAGTCTCCGGTTCTATAACGGGGTAGCTAACTACTATAATGTCTTCATCTTAGACGGTAGAGTAATAATAGTAACGAGCTACTATAAGTTATAGGCAATGCTTAATATGCCGAAGATAGTGCTACGCTTCTTGCTATAGAGATTAGGCTAGATTACATTTATTTATCTTACCTACGTACGAGTATTTGCTAAGTTGCTATCTATATAGGTCTAGTACAGTTAAGGATAGAGCGACTACATCTAGGCGGATTCTAACGGTCTATAGGAGACGTAGAAGCTTACTAACACGATAAAATAAGAGACGGCTAAACGACTAAAGGTAAAGCTATACACTTAGAACTATAGATATGCCGCCGTCTTTCTCGGCAGAAGATTTGTTAGTCTAAGGTTTACTAAAGGCTATAGAGAAGAGGCTAAGGATCCTAAAGAAGCCTAAGTAGGCGACGACGATATTAAGGAAGAGGGTAATGCTATCGAGCTCTAGAAAGCTAGCGGTTTTAGTACTAGAGCTAGCAGATATATAGTTAGAGCCGACATCTTAAAGTATCTTAACTAGGAGTTAATCGATATCTTCGGCGATCTTAGCGAGGTCTAGCACGAGTTTCTAGAGCTTAACTATAGAGATCTAAAGAGAAAACGAAGAGTAGAACCTAAGTACGATAAGGGTAGTAACGACGACAATAACGACAGGATGTAGAACGTTAATTTTAGGGGTTTAAGAAAGGAAAGATTACTTAAGAGACTACTAGCATTAAGGAGAGGAGTAGCCGCCGCCGCCGCCGCCGCTATAGCTATTAATCTAACGCCATTTCTATAACAATCTAAGAGATAGTAAAGAGAGATTAAAGAGTTATAGATAAAGATAAAGACGTAAGAGCTTAAACTAAGGTTCTAGTAAGAATAGCACTCGCCTAAGACTCTAAACATTAGCTTAGGAATCTATAATATAAATTACGGTCTACTAACACTAGTTACTAAGGAGAGTAGTAATAAGAATACTACGTATAGGAACACTAATACTAGAAGTTATAATAATAATAATAATAACCTAATCTATGTTAAGGACGATAGCTAGGAAAACGAGGATCTACAATATAGAGGCTATTATTAACGCTACCCGTAGTAGTTACGATAATAGCATTAGTAGTACTGCTTAGATAATAGTCTAATTGTCAAATAAGGCTAGAGAAGGCTTAAGTAGTAATAACGATTTAAAAGAGCGACGCTACGAGAATAAGAAAGAGCGATACGTAAGGTACTTAAGCTTCCTATAGACGACGATAATATAACGATAAAGATTAGATACCGATTAAAAGCGTAAGGAGAAGCACTATAAAGAATTATATATAGCGACTTTAGTATTCTTACTATCGTTCTACTAACCGCTAGAGGTAAGACTCTACTCTTTACTATACTAGCTTATCTAGAAGAAGACGTTAGGGTAACGATCGTAGTAGTACTATTCTAAAAGCTTATCGACAAGATAGTAAGAGATACCTAGAAGATAGTAGGTGACTACAAGGAATAGAGTTATAGTACTATCAATCTAGTAGCTCTTATAATCGTTAGCGTAGATAAGATGTACGACTACTTCTAGTTATACGCCCGATAGATAGTAGAGTAAGGCCGATTAAGACGAGTAGTAGTAGATAAATGCTACTTACTAGTAACTTCCTATAGCTAGAGACTACATCTCGTCGAGCTAGAGAAGCTTAAGTTACTTAGCGTGCCGATAGTAATGCTTACTACTATACTACTACGATATATAGAGGTCGAGCTTTAACGTAGTCTAGGAGTCGGTATTAGGATAATGTCGCTTATCTAAGCGTATATAGCATAAGAGAACATTACTTATACTATTAGGTAAGACATTAGTAAAGGGAAGCTAGTCGAAGAGATAGCTCGAGTTTACGAGGAAGTCGAAGATAAATTATATAGAGCTAGAAAGGAGAAGGTAGTTATCTACTACTAAAGTAAGAAAGATTACGAGGAGATAGTAGAGAGATTAGGTTATAGACTCTTCTACGCTAGATACGTCGATAGCAAGGAAACGCTAGAGTAGTAGAAGGTAAAAGGTAGGTTTATCGTATCTAACGTTATTCGGCGCCGAATCCTGTAGGGATTCGCCTATTTTACTATAGCGTACAAAGCTACGGGGCCCGTACGTAGTCGTTTTCCCTGTCGGATTCGCCCTTCCTACCCCCTATTAGATTTAGAGCGCATTTTCTAAGTACTATCCCCCCCCCCCCCTNCGACGCTAGCTAAGCCTTCTTAGATAGGTAGTGCCGTACTACCCTAAGCTATTTACATCTATCCCTAGACTTTCTAAGCACCCCTACGCGACGCTAGTAAAAAGCCGCCTTCTAGATAGGTAGTGCTATACTACCCTAAAGCTATAAACATCCCTATAGGTCTATCTATCTAGATATATAGAATGATATACGCTATCTATCGTTACTACTACTATCCTCGTCTCTATTATTATTATTATTATCTTCGCTATTACTATGTCTGTCGTCGTTATTATCGTCGTCGGATACCTCGCTTTTATTAGTTATATAACTAACCCCTTTAACGTCTTTCTCTCTACTTACCCTACCTTTAGTATTTACTTTTCGTTTTATCTTACGGCTACTACGCCCTACCCCCTCGACTATGTACGCTTCTTATACGGCTAGGGAACGACTAAGAGTAGCTAGTAGTCTTACCGTCTACTATATTTAGATTAAGTATTCCTAGTAGTACTTCCTATCGTCGTGTCGTCTAGTTAACTCGCTATAGATTACCTTAACTACGTCGTTAATCGTTTACCTAAAGTCTAGCCCGTAGTAGGCTATCCCTAGCTTAGGATCTATACCTTACTTAGTAATATCGTTTATCGGCTTACGCGCTTTACTATTAGCTACTATATCTATTATCTTACTTATCTATTCGGTCTCCTTCTTAGTACGCCTTACGCGTTTACGCCCGCCTTATTTAGTACTCTCTAACATTTCCTCGCCCTTACCTCTCTTCCTTATACCTCTACTCGAAGATTATAGTCCTAGTTTTAGCGCTTTTATCGTTAGTTCTATCGTCTATTTACCCTCCTCGTTAGAGAGCTCGACGATCTAATACTAGTCTTTACGTTCCTCTAGGAAGAACGCCTTAAGTGTCGTCTAGCCTTAGTCTTTAATAGGTTAGGGAGGGCCTACTACTACGATATTAATTAGTAGTAGTCTCGATAAGTCTAGCTATTTAGTACGTCTAGCGTTTACCTTACGACGCGTAATAGCGCTCTACTACCTACTAACGGCATCGAGCAGCGTAACTCTAATTTTATAAACAGCTACTATATACATTAGCGTTTATTTAGAGAGCTATTATAGAGACATTACTTCTAGATCTATATGCTCCCTATAGAACGAGTCTAGGATCTCGTCGGACTACCCCTCTCCCTAAGTCGAGCTTAGTCTATCTAGGAAGCGCTAGCGTTACCGATCGGTAGAGCTACTAATAATAAGTATAATCCTAATAGTAACGTACTCGTCTAGGCCGGCGATAAACGCCTCCTAGCTACGTAGACTACGGTTTAGGTATGTCTTCTATACCTAGTAGTACTCTACCTATCTCTATATACTCGTTATCGCGGCTAAGATATCTTATACTTTGCTCGCTAGTTCATTTAGGATATTAGTCGTCGTCTAGGTAGTACTAACTATCTTTCCTTACTCTATTAGGTAGCTAAGTAGCAATATGTTCATTCTAGGTTAGCAAATATGTCTAAGTTACGCCTTAACTTTATCTATGCTAACGATTCTACTCGACTCTAGTAGTAGGCTTATATTAGGTCCCTTATCGCTATATAGCACGACTTACCTACTAGGTAGTAGCTATAATAATAGTAGCTATAGCGTATTAGATATAAAGAGAGGAGATTATAAGCGTCGAGCTACACCTACGCTAACTCTAGAATTATAGACTATACTATAATAGATATATATTAGTAGTTATAGGCGTTTATATATATATAAAGGTCTTACGATAGCGGAGAGGTTAACTCTAGAGTAGGGTAGGTCGTATTATCTTAAATAAAAGTCTACGCGTCTAAGTATAGCCTATCGTATATATAGGCGCGACGAAATAACGCGTTCGCGCGCGATCCGTAAGTAGAAAATAACTCCTAGGGAGGACTATACTATAACTATAAGGTCTCCTTTTATAAGAGTATAAAGGTATATAGTAACGTATAAAGTCCTACTAGTAATATAGTTACTAATAGTAAAGACTAATCGATGCCCTAAGTATTAGTGTCTTCGAAAGTAAAGATATACTTATATATGCTAAGCCTCGCTTAGAGGCTTAGGCTTCGTCGTAGAGGCTACCCTAGCCTTTCTAGTAACAATTATCCCCTCCTCTATACGGTTGTCTATAACCGAGAGGCTAATAGTCGGTATACTATATAT